AACTGTTATTAAGAGTTAAGAGGTTGTTAACTTAATAAAATTTTTTGTAAATTGAGAAAAATGTAAAAATTATTGTGACGAAATTTTGTGTACAGATGATAAGCAGAAAGAGTTTTATTATAAATTTTTTTTAAAAAGTTATAATAACTTTTTAAAATATATGCCTTTAAAATATATGCTTTTAGGGTTTGGGCCCCGTAGCTTACTGGTTAAGCTCCCAAACCCCCACAGACAAGGTTGACGATTCGAGTCAGGTTGGTGGCAAATTTTAAATTTGCTATTGTAACCTTATAGAGTCATAATCGGATGCAGAGCCCTGTAGAAAGTCCAAGTGCAAGTACGGTTTAGAAATAGAAATTCTTGGAAGGAGCCCTAATTATAGAGTGCAGACATTATATGTGACAGCGACGTCACAAAAGGGCAGGTTGTAGAACATTGCACAAGTTAGTCTTCTGGTTAGGGTGACTCAGAGGCAACACCAATATTTCTTCACCTCCATATTAGACAATACTAACATCCTCATACCCAACTTGTGGGGTACTTGCTTGAAAAGATAATTAATGTATTGTACGCATTAGTCTTAATATGGAAACAGTGCTAGGTACTTGCTTGGAAGAGTGATATGATACTACTAAAACTAGAATGGTAAGAGAAGCGATGAACATGTAAAAGGGCTGTGATAAAGGATTGGCCTTATCTAAACAAGAAGCATCTTTGGCAGCGAAGAATAACTAGCTAAAGAAGGTAATCTCATAGAGGCAGGCTAGCTAGTCTAGTACGTCTAAAGGCACCAAGTCAAAGCTTTGGTCATACCTATATGGAAGTCTTTAACGAAAAAAGCCAAAATATATCAACAATAATGCAACACCAACCAATGATGAAGAATCAAGTTGGAAGTCAAGGTGAATTGGGGTACACCTTCTAGTAACATGACGCAAAGCCTATGGTTGGAAGTAGAACTGCTTGCCACTTAAGGAATTTCGTGATATTAGGCTAGTTTTTAACAAAATAGGTTATTAAAGTAGCTATGCAATATGGTTCTGGTAATACACCATATAAAAAAGTACAAACGGATTAGTTGGTACCACTATACTAGAAAAAAGAATGTTAAGTCCTGGGGTAAGCAAACCAGCGGCGGCAGCAGGGCTTGGCTTAAGATATGGGTTAGTAGTATCTAGGCAGATAAGTGAGAGATTAAAGCATTCATAGAAGAGATGGTGCATGAAGAGAGCAAACCGATTGAGGCGGTGCAAACCCAAGATAAGTCCTTAATCAACAATGTAATATCAACTCAGTCATATGGCGAACCTAACTAGGCAGCAAGTTCTGACTTGAGATATGAGGCTGTAAAAAGGGCACTTGCATTAATTATGATTGCACGAATAAAGTACCTTAGTGGGAACTTGCAATGGATCATGCTTGTAGATACACCAAATTGGAAGCTCATTAGGAGCAGACACTTGACGTATCAAATTAGAAGTTATGACTGGTTGTATGAGACGTGGGAGGAATATGGTATTATTAGAAATAGTTAGTTGGGAAGCACAAAACTAGGTGAGACATATGTGGGTATGTAACACTCTAGTAGATTTAGGTCATAGATAAATTAGTTTAAGTCTCTGTAGTAATGCATTAGCGTATATATAAAGAACTTGTCATAATAAGTATATATTAATAAAAACCAGAGATGTGACCTCACCTTAATATTAAAAAAAATATATATATATATATGCTTTTAAAAGGTGTAGCACTTAGTGAAATTGGTAAGTTGTTGCACCCCCAAATGGCAGAACAAAAGTTCGAATCACACTAGCAATGAAATTTGAATTTTACAGAATGTGTTATAGCAGACTGTATATAATCTGATAGATTATTAGATCTGTAACTTGGTTGCATCAGGGCTTACTAAGAGGCTGTAGAACATTAGTATAATATATAAATTACACAAAATTTGAGTAAAACAGCTGAGTTAATCCAGATATTGAGGCTATGATACATACAGGAGCCTGCTTGACAAGTCTCAAGTAAAGAGATAATACAGATCTTTGATGATACTATGTAAAGAACTATCTAAGAGATCTGAATATTGATTTTAATAATCTGGACAAGGATCAGTGTTTGGCAAGACACTATACCAACCAGGCTACTAGAGGAGTACCAAAGGAAAAGGACCCAACCATGAAGACCAAGAACAGATCACAATTCTTCCAGACTATCTGGATTGGGAGTTTAAGTCACTAACAGAACTTAGATACTGGTGATAGTCTGTATAGTGGGTACCGGGATTTGGGTAAACTTTGCAAAGGCACAGAGTAAATAATGGTAACAGAAGTAAAATGCCGCAAGTACTTGGTCTTGGCCTAGGTATAAGTTACTGAAAAATCTAGATGATATATATATAGAATATAGACCACTTTAGTAGGTTTATTACGAGGATATAGTAGTCCTAAAGGTTCTTAGTGGCAGTTCCTCTTTGGAGAAAATATCTGATAGCACTAAGTTGATCAGAGGGTTTAATTAGGTAACTCAAATAATAGTAGGTTATAGGTATAGCATCTAGTATAGAACCTAATAATAGGTAGATATTTAATTAGGTACTCAAAAAGGCACAGGTATAGCTAGAATGTATCCTCGTTAATGTAACAAAGTCAGGGGTAGTCCTGTGGCTGCCCTGGCATTTGCAACCAAAGTTAATAAAACATGCCAAACCCCAAGTGGTCACTTTAACATTAAAAAAAAATAAATATATAGCTTTTAAAATATAACAATTTTATATGATAACATATAAAAAAAGTCAAAAATGTGATACATTTAAACCAAATAGCCAATCAAATTAGCTTAAATTTATATAACTAAATTTTAAAAAAGTTTAGCCAATCAAAATTCATAAAAGTTGTCCAATCAAAATTAAACAACTTTAAAAACATCAAAAATCAATGTTTTAAAATAAATTAAGTTTTAAATTTTTAATTTGAAAAATGGGACAAATGTAGTCTTTAAGTATCATGCACTATAGAATTCTAAAATAGTCTTAAAATGTTTAATTAACCACTCAAAGTTCGAAAACACAGATAATCTATACGTATTATAATAGAAATATCATATGCATTTTTAAAAGCCTTTCTAGATTCATATTTGCTAATTACAGTATATAATTTGAATAGTGATACTGATACGGGGTCGACCCTCTGTGGGCCGGGCCGGTTGATAAGAGAAGTATTAGAATCATTTCTTTTCTAAACATATTTGCAGGCTAGAAATTGAATAAAAATCAACTCGTCGTTTATAATAATGTAAGAGAGTTGGCTTATTTAGGTGATAAATTGGCAAATAGCAAGGGTGCCGATCAAAATCCCGACAAGCACAATCCCGACAGGTCATAATCCCGACAAAAAAATCCCGACAATTAAAAATCCTGACAATCGGGTAGAAATCCCAAATATGAGGTATGTTTACAGCTATTGTCATAATTTCTGGGACACCTGTTCATTACCCGAAATCTTTTTGGTCGTTCGGTAAATTACCTAACTTTCCGGAAATTACATCACTGCCTCCGGACTGAAGGTCCAAAGACAGCGATGTAGTTTCCAGAGAGTTAGGTAATTTACCGAACAACCAAAAAGATTTCAGGTAATGAGCAGGTGTCCCAGAAATTATGATAATCGCTGTAAAGTGAAGTAGACGCTTATAATTTAATTAACTTTAGGGTTAGGTCACTTTAGATGAGGCTAGCTATGGTTTGTGATAATTTTTTTATCAAATTTTTAATTGATATAAGGATCCGGTGGCATAGAACATAAAATACTAACGTGCCGAAATTTTCTCAAGGACAAAAAGAATAAAAATTAAATCGTTTACAGCTATTATCATGATTTCTGGGACACCTGAAGAATTTTCAGATGACCGAAATATCCTCTGTTTCATTCGGTAAATTACCTAGCTCTCCGGAAATTACATCGCTGTCTTCGGACTGAAGGTCCGGAGACAGCAATATAGTTTTCGAGAAGTTAAGTAATTTACCGAATGAAACAGAGGATATTTCGGTCATCTGAAAATTCTTCAGGTGTCCCAGAAATCATGATAATAGCTGTAATATCACAAGAAACTACCTGATGGCCTTTTGTACGTTTAATATAGATATGTTGACTGATTTTGATCAGAAAAAAAATCACACTAGCAAAAGGTCGGCCCGGTTGACCGGGCCGAGTTTTTTAGGATCGACCCCGGCCCACGATTTTTTCATCGACCGTAATTCAAAAAAACCATTAGCAGAAAAAGCATAATTTAATACAATTAGCAAGAATAATTCTGGATCGACCAGGGCGGCCATAAGATTAACTGTCATGTGAGTAGCGCCACCTTCCGTAATTGTAGCAGACGAATCAGTACTGAATCTATAGTGCTATTGTTATGACCTTACATTGCATATTTGCATATTGTGTATATTGAACCTAGGCGCTACTCACATGGCAGTAAATTTGATGGCCGCCCTGGTCGATTCAATAATTCTGGACATCTACAATCCCGGGTCCCTCAAAGGCATGTGATCAATAAACAATGTGTTTAGTGTAACATTCACAAACATTTAGTGAGAGTTAGTTCTAATTTGTTTTTTTTTTCCTGAAAAAAAAAAAACGACCAACAATAATACAAATAATAGCTTATGTTGGAGAACATTTGGTCATACTTAGTTTATATACTTATGTTCATATATTGGATTATAGTTTTAAGAAAAGTTTGATTACGCCAATTTTATTCACTGCTAACTTTTGCCCTTTTGCGGTTAGTAGATTTAATGTTAAAAATGGTACCCATGCGCATACGTACGTACGTACGTACATACGTGCTTACGTGCTTAAAATTTTTTAATTGTTTTTTTTATATATAAAATCGTCGCTTTTTTGATTAGTGATATACTAATATTTTTCCATTTTTTTATTAGTTCTTTAATTTGATCCAATCAGATATTTCTATTAGCATAAACTCGTATCGTGACAAAAATGGAAGAAAAATCCAGCATTGCGGTTTCAGTCCAGCCATTTGGTTCAAGTTTTCATTCACCCGCACTGTTACCTTCTAACACCATTTTTTCTACCGCTTCATCATTATCTACCACTCCTTCTTTATCAACAATCACGGAAAACATACCACCTATCACATCACGTTCAAAAATGTTGAATTTATGGGTTCATGATGAAAAATTTTCAAAACAAGATTTTATTATGAATCCCGATTGCTTTTCGGATGCAAAACCCGGTCAATTATTAGAGATTTATCATTCTACAGAATCTTCTGATATCACAAAACATTTAATTGTTAAAGTCGGTGCGTTCGACAAAGAATACATTGGTAAAGAGAAACCAATTTTACAGGTAATTTTAAACTTGGAAAAAGGTATTTTATCTGAATTATGATGAATTGATTGGTAAAAATAATTTATGATTGATTGTTATGTTTTATTAAAGATTTCGCTTGCAAATCATATTGCTCAGATTTTTGGTTTTAAAACGAGAACAAATGTTATCGTTCGAGAGGTATATGAATCCAAAATTTTTATTATTAATTATTTTGATTAAAAATCTTTTTCTAAATCTTAATTATATTAGGTTGATGTAGAATCAGTTGCTGCTGAATATATTGAATTCTCATTTCGTGATCAATATATTGGTAGAGGTGATATGTGGAGGTTAGCTCGTAGTCTTACTGGAACTTGCGTTTATCTTGGCAAGAGAATAGAGTTTGCTGGATGTATTCGTGCGCAAGTTAAAAAAATTTATGTTAACAAACGACAGGTGATAATTTGCTATATATTGATATTCATCAATACATATGAAACATAATCATTCACAATTAAGTTTATTTCATTCATTAATATATGTATTAATTAGGTCTCATGTGGATATATAACAGGAGAGACTAAACCTATATTTCGATCAGAATCTGCTAAGTTATTTATTTTTGTTCAGATGTCACGAGAAATGTGGGAATTTGATGAAGATGGAGAATTATATTTTGAAAAAGCAATTGAATTTTTCTCGGAATTATTTAAGTATTGGAAACAGCTGGGAACAAATCATGTAATCTCAATAGTTTTGTTTTCAAGGATATTTTATGATTATGAATATTTGGAAAATGATTCTAAATTAAAGGCAGAAGGTTCTATGATTAAAGATTATGACGATAGATGGTGTAAAGATTTTTACAAGGTCATTGTGGACTGGGAAACACGATCAGATTGGAGTGGTGTTCTGATGTCTTTAAAAAATGAATTGTTAAATTATCAACCTGCAGTATTGATGAGAAAAAAACAATGTCAAGATGGTTGTTATAATGTTCTAGCTGGAAAAAATTCTTATGCCTTTGAGGGCAACGTATTGGAAGCCATTAATCTTGCATTGAATCCATTTGATAAACATTATGTAGATCGAGATTTAATGCGTACGGGTTTATCAATTATAATAGTAACTCCAGGATGTGGAAGATTCGAGGTTGAAAAAAAACTTTTGAGAATCACGACTGAACGAATAGTTGATAACGGGATTGGATTGGATCTTGTATGTTTATCAAAAGCTCCACTTCATGCTGTTCCATTATTCAAATTTAAATCTCAGGAAATATCCAAAGCCCCATTACCTGATTGGTTTGATAAAAAGATGCATAAATGGCAGCAGGCAAAAGATATGTATTTGGAATCGAGGGATCCATTAGATTTTGATGAAAATTCAATGGATGCTAATTATGTATATTATCAAACTCCTGACTGGGTAGAATGTAATTTTTATTCAAGATACCAAGATAAACCTCTTAAACCTGGCAAGTTTGTTCCCAGATGTAGGATGTATGAAATACAGATGATGGGAATCATGGAACATGAAATATCTTCAATATTGATTCCTCATTTAGCAGATAAACAATTGCCTCCAGAAGATGGTGAATTTGATTATGATAAATATGATGATGAAATTTTTACTGATGTGCGATCAAGGTCAAGACAAATAGGTTTTCCATATGGAAATATACATCAGTCTAATGATTTATCGCAACCACGTAGAAGCAATGATGATTTTACAATTTATTCAAGAAATTATTCAAGTGAGCTAACGAGAAGTTTGCCAAAAGGATTATTACCGTTTGGTTTGACATTATCTATTCATCCTGAACAAAATCGACAATCTTCAACAAATTTCAGAAGCCCTAGGCTTTCTGGAAGTAATTTAATTGATTCATCGATTATCAATAGTAGAGAGCCTTTTATGAGATCTCATTTGCATGAAAGCTTTCAAGAAGGAAGTTTTCGAGGTGATCAACCCGATGAAGACGATGGTCCAGTGACGACTTCTAGCACTGTTGAAGCGATACCCATTAGGACGACGACTAGATCAATGAGGAATTCAATTCCACCATCACCTAAAGGAAGCATTCCGGAATCTAATAAAAGCTCATATACCAGTGAGAAAGGACGATCAATAACTGCTTCGAGACACATTCAACAAGTATTGGTGAATCCTTGTAATCGCTCAAGTCAAACTGGAAGTGGAATTCGATTAAAAAGATGGGAACATGTCTTTCCACAACCAAAATTAATGAATTCAGTTAAATGGTCTGCGCTTTACACTCCAGCATGTCTTCCTTTAACTACAGATCATTTTCCTGTAATTAATGAATATAGTTATGAAGAAGGTACTTATACAATCTCTGTGGATCCTGAAACGTTCTCAATAAATCAGGAACATAGCACTGAAGAAAGTAAAACTGAAACACTATTAAATGAAATGATCTCACAGCGTTTAGCTCAAGGATATCAATTGATTGTACCTTCTAGTTCTACTAATGCTACAGACAATTCAAAGAGCATTAAATCTACAAGTAATATCGCTGATAATCTTTCGATAAGCCCAGAATTTACCAAGTCACCAAGTTTCAGAAATAATAGAGAACCAACACCGCAAATTATGCAATTGAATTCGTTTGCAGTTTCTAATCCATGTTACCTTAGCATGGGACGTCATGTCCACAAATTGACTTATTATCCTGCGGAACATGTAGAAGTCAAGAGATACCTGCGTAAAACTGAATATAAGCAAGAACCTAAAGAATATTCTTGTGATGTATGGCCAAGATGCCAAAAATCTTATGAGCTTAGAGTGATTAAGTTTAATTATCCAAATGTTAATTACAAATGGAATCATGTCGATCAATTAGCTTGTGGATATCAGGATGATCTTTCTGATTCGGATGATTTAAGGTTTTGGAGGACAAGATTTGTATTGATCCCAACAGAAAATGTTCCAAGCAATCTGTTGAAAACTGCAAATGAAACTTTGGACGAAGAAGAAATTCGAGTAAACGGAATATATAAATTTTTTGAACTTTTTGAAAAAGCGTCTTGGAATCCATCAAATGAGCGAAAAGAATCTAATAATAAAACAAAAAAAGAGAACATAACTTCACCTCTCCAACCTACAACACTTGACCCATCAATATTTGTGAAATTCCCTGAGGATGCGTATCCACGACGGCCATCTGTTATCCCAGCAGATGAAAGACTTAATAGAGAATCTAAAACTCAAGCAATAGTTTCAGCGATGATGAATCCAACTAGTGGGATCGTACGAGATAGACGATGGCATTTACGATTTTATCAAAATGCGATTGTTGGGAATGAATATGTCGACTGGCTGTTAAAAAAATTCCCTGATATTAACTCTCGTGAAGATGCTGTGTCATTTGGCAACGAATTACAAGAAAGGGGAGTGATTGAACATTGTACTAAAAGACATCAGTTTTTAGATGGGTATTATTTTTATCAAATAAAAGAAGATCACGCAGAACGAAAATCTGCAAAAAAATGGTTCGTAAGTAAAGCCGCAATGTTTTCGGCATCAAGCACTCCAAATTCTCCCGCTACAACTGCCGCATCAACAGATTCTGAAAAACGACCAGTGATCGAATTAACGAAAGCTATGCAAATTGACATTGATCCGTCAAAAAAGAGTGATAGAAGAGAAACTGCTACATTACACTACGATGTGGTGTTTAACCCTGATAATTGTTATCATTTTCAACTTCATTGGCTAGGTTGTACAGCACGACTTATTGAGGAATTACTTCAAAAATGGAGTGGAAATGCCGATAGGTATGGACTAAAACTAGTCGAAGTACCTGTAGAACAGGCGATAAGTTTGACTGATAACAATCCATTTCAATCACCCACCTTAATAAATTTATCTGTACCACCACCATCACTGGAATCATTGGGTAAAAAGTTACATCCACTAATAAACCAACATTTCTATTTTGAAAAACAATTGATTAAATACTTTAAGTTTATATTGGATGTTGAAGCCGATGATGCATTTCCTAAAGATGTAGAAGTTAAATACTCGTATAGTAAAACACCATTTAAATATTCACAATATATACACAGGTCTGGAGTTGCATTTATACAAATTTGTGAAGAAGGATACTTGTGGATGAATAATAGATTATTTACAACACATAATCCATCGTCATCGTTAATGAGCAGCGCTATTGTTAGGAATAGTGCGCATTTACCAGCTTCATTATTAACCAATTCAAACCTGATTGGTGGTAGGGATCCTAATTTGATTAGTGGTAATTCTAGGGATTCAAATATGATGAGCAGTAGTGTTAGGGATCCAAATATTGCGAGCAAGTGTGGTGCAAATTTAGCGCCAAATCCTGATATGTTATTAAAAGAATTTCAGAAATTTTGTGGAAATGAAGTACTATTGAGAGATTTTTGGGATGAAGTTATAAGTAGATTGCCAGAGTCAGTTGAAGATGAAACGGAGGAAGAGTTGCAAGAGCCTAATGATGTTGCGTAATTCATTAATTGTTGGTGTGAGTGTAATAGCTTTAGAGATATAATATTTTGTTCAAACATAGTTTTAGGCACAATTAGCATCATGATTTAAAATTAAAGTGGTACGAAATACTACTTAGTTGTATATTAATTGGTATAAAAATATAATTCACAAAAGTATTTATTTATTTGTAAATATAAAGAATAAAGGTATAAAGTTATCCTTACCTCGACCGTACCAGTAGAAATAAAGTGGGTATCAAAACTCAAATCTCTTAACCCTTTTTTTTTTTTTCTTAAATCCTAAATCCTAAACTAATCACCTATTCCAGATTCTATTATACTTGCTATAATCTAATTATTTAACCTGTTTTTTTTTTATTCACGGACATTTTAAATTGATAATGTTACGAGGTTTTTCAATTAATTATTGTCTGAACTATAACCGAAATTACAGTTATAATAGAAATATCAAAAACGCAGCTTTAGCATTTTCCGCTTGTAATTCCTAAACGTTTTGATCTGCGATATACTACATGGACAGACTTTTAAGGGCTAAGCCAATTATATTAATCAACATAACGATAAAAAGTTTATACTACCAGTGATCATTACTAGTGTAACACACAAAATATTTTTTAAATATTAAAGGTTAGAGGTTAGAATCAAACAGCCCATAGTAAAATTTCGCAAGGAATGTTTTTTTATTAGAACCCGAAAGGTGATCTTATAATCAAAATTTGAGTTATAATCAAATTTTTAAAATTGCTTCGTTTTAGTTATACAAGCAATTATTTTATATTAATCAATTTGATTTTAAAGATTTTTTTAAATAACTTTTTGTTATTATTAAAAAAATATAAAAATAAAACTTTAACAAGCATTTTTTCACTACCTTTTGTTTGTCTTTGGCAAGGCAATTTTCAAAGAAGGGAACAGATCGCATCGAATTGCCTTTGTGTTACCAACGACGATGTCGATAGTAAGAGACATACCCGCGATAAGAAAAGTTGATCCTGGTTCATCGCTTCCAGCCAACTATAGTACAATACCTTTAGGAACGATTTACTCTAGTACACCCAGAGGTAGTAGAATCATTTACGATCGGAATACACTTCTTAACCTCGCAAATTCTCCTCTCGCTAAAACATCACCTACCAGCTTGCTTATGTACCTGGTGTTACTATACAACATAATTCCAATAATGATAATACAATGAAGCCTAGTAACGGCACTACATCTCAAGTTGCAGGTCATTTAGCCCCTCCAAAGTCGACTCTTCCGGGGGTTCAAAAAAGGTCGATGCCAGCGGAAACATTGTTTTTGACAGTGAGAGTGGTAACGAAGACACCAATCAACAACTACACGATGTCATGTTTGACATGGACATGGAATAGCGTGCGATCCATATTCTCACCTTTCGGTTCATCTGATGTTTCCGGAGGGTAGGATCCTCCGGGTAGTGATTTGACCTGTCTAAAAAACCTTCACCCAGGTCACCCGACGGGTGGACAATACGTCACCCGGGTGGAAATCGGGTCAGGTCACCCGGGTTAGTCAATATGTACTTTGCGCGTTTACTAATTTCACCCCCAAGTTTCTATTGGTCATCGGTAAATCGCATTTTTGATTGGGCAAAATCGATGACCTTAATAACGTGATTTGATCATAGCCAATCAGGAAGCAAGATCAAGTGTAACGTGAAAATTAAAAAAACAATCGCTCTTTTCTGAAAAGTCACATTAATCTCAAAATTTCGGCTAAGAAATCGCCTTTTGCGTACTAACAAAAAAAAATTCCTTGCAGAATTTTGGTATAATGCTGCCCACTAACTCTAACCCTAACCCCAAGATATCACATTATAAATGGGTGCGAATAATCCCAGCCAATAGAAATTTGGGGGAAAAATTAGTAAAATCGTACTTTGCGCATATGCCTGCATACTGAATATTTTATGTACACATTCGCATATATTCTATATTCCCTCCCGTCGAATTTTTTTATTGATAATGCGCTTAATCAAGTATATGGTTAGATCCCGAAGTTAATTGCTAAAATGCTAACTAGGGATTGAACTAGGGATGGACAAGTCCGGTCCAGTCCGTCCGGTCCTAAAAAGACCGGTCTATTAATGTTTTCAGTCCAGTCTCGGTTCCAATAACGGTCCTTAATTATTTAATCTTATTGGCTAGCGGAGAAATCAAATCATGTGACGTCAGTAATTGAAAATAAAAGATTATGTAACATATTTTTATTTGAATTATTCATGAGGACCAGTCCAGACTGGTCTCAGGACTGAGGACCAGTTAATCATAAGGCTGGTTAAAAAGACTGGTTCTTATTCGGTCTTTTTAGGATTGATCCATCCCTAGATTGAACCCGAGTAGAAATTGTTACCTGAAATATATAATAACTTACCCGGATAACCCAGGTAATTTAATCATATCCGGGTAGAGATTTTCTCAACGCGTTCAATCTCTAATGCTAACGACATGTTAAAAGCCACTTATGCTTAATTAAGATCAACATGTCAGATCATGAAAGTCACGAAAATAATAAAGGTGAGTAATTATGAATGCCGTTCACTTAAATATTTATTTTATTAATTATAAATCTATTCCCAAACCTTACAATACAAACAGTGTTGGGTATTTGACCAATTTGACCGATTTGACCATTTTTTAGCTATTATTAACATTTATTTATTTATTATTAATTTTATTTTTAACTAAATTAAACAATATAGTTTATATAATAATTTATTAAATTTAAATTTAAATGATATCTGGTTTTACTAAAACACACCATAGGTGTTGAACACCATGTCACACAAACTTATTAGAATAGCCAATCAAAATTTAAGATTAGGTGTAATGTAAAATTTTGCGTTTTTGTTTATTTTTTGAAAAAATGTAAATATCTCAAAATTTTACTTAAAAAATTGCCTTTGGAGTTTTAACAAAAAAATTCCTTGCTAAATATTGCATATACTAATGTTTTAATAAAATCTCAGACCTTAATCTAACTCTAAAGTGATTAAAATTTATTTATTTTTATAAAAATTTGTTTTTTGTTTTGTTACACAGATCTGTAAATCAAAATAATATATATGGTGTTCAACACTATAGGTGCATTTTATAATTACTGATGATATCTTTTAACTAAAAATTTTTATTAATAATTAAAAAATTGGTTATATTGGTCAAATTAGTTAAATGCCCAACACTGAATACAAACTTTTTATTTAATAAACAAAATTTTACTTATAATTTCAGATGACAATTTATTTTTTTAGAAGTAATTTAGTTTTCTATATCAAAAAAAAAATGCTCACTTGGAACTGAGGTAGTGAAGATTAATAAGTATAATGAGTTATTTTACTTAAAATAAAAAAAAAATACTGATTTTTTATACTATCAATTATAAATATTAGCAGATTTAAATAAATTTAGTATTACTATTTCTAAATAGTTATCAATTTTGGTTTGTTACTTTTTTGTTTTTTTTTTGTAGTCAAGGTTAGCCTCTTTGGCTCATTGCTTTTATTAGATTCTAGAATCATGTGGTGCCCTTTTCAAGGAGGTCCAGACAAATACATTTTGACAAGGATACATTTTAGCCATACCTGCACCTTTTGAGCGCCTAATTAAGTAGCTACCTATTACTAAGTACTACACTAGATGCCGTACCTATAACCTACTATTATTTGGATTATCAATTAAACCCTCTGATCTGAGTTTCCTATACCAATCCATCTAACCTTACCTGGGACATGCGATACATTAGTCAGTTCAAGTTCCAGGATCATTGCAGACTATCTATAGGACTACCGGTATGGTTAACCGATTCATCCTCGAGTGCATCACTTGCTAGAGCAGTCTGGTACTCACTATTACTGTATTACCTAGTCTACTTTGGTAACTTACACCTAGGCCGAGACCAAGTATTTGCGAGCTGAAGCCACTACTATTATCTACTTAGCCCTTGTAGAGTTCACTCAAATCTCCCTTCAAGACAATCCGGTACCTTCCTTTACAGTACCTTCTAACCAGTCTCTCCAGACTACCAATCCAGATGGCCTGGAAAGGATGCCAGTCTTTTCCTCCAGTTGACCTGGCGGCCTGGTTGGTGAAGTAACTTGCTGGTACTCTTGCCTCATCCAGTTCTCTAGCCTTGGGTGAAGCCTATTCTGGTAGGCACCATCAAAAGCTTGTGCTACCTCTCTACTAGGGTCTTGCCAAGCGGGCTTTCCATAGCGCCATTCATTGGATTTACATGATCTGAGGACTTATTATGAGTTTACGCCACCTTACCAGTTTGTATCCTCTTTGTGCAACTTATATATTACACAAATGCTCTGAGATCTTCCCTAGATCGACCCAATAGTGCAATAGATATTCTTCCTATAGAAAGTATGACCAATATTATAAGATCTTCTTCCCAATATACAAGAGAGTTGCTATTACACGAAAGAATTCAATTTTTCAGTGTCGGTGGGAATTAAACTCTAGATGTGCACTTGGAGAAAGTGACAACCCAACCACTTTACTAAGTTGCTACACTCCGTTTGTTACTTCTTTGTTTATTGCTAACACTAAATATTTTCTTATAAAATGTGGATAATAGTTTCTTTATAATGGGATTTTGATTCATCAACTACAAATATACTCTGCCAATTTTGAAATTCAGTATACAGCTTGTTAACCATTTTTTTCTTATATCTGCAAACTATAAACTTATTTTTTTTTCTAACTTTGACAGTCTTGCCAGTGTTCCTTTATTAAGATTGTTTTGTCACATGACTGTACAAGATACTTTAAGTTTAATATTTAAGCCTAACATCCTGTAGTTACTTCTAAGAGCACTTACAAGTGATCTGTTACACTAGGCAAATAAATCTACAAGAGACATATTATGATAAATAGACAGAAAATCTGAAGACTATCTATTCTAGAGAGCCATATCAGACCACCATTCTACAATAGGATATTGCCAATCTGATGACATCTTCTCATAGAGAAGTGAAAAAAGAGAAAAATGCTAATATTAATATTAATACTAAAAAAGAGGAAAAGATAAAAAACAAAAGTAAAAAAAATCTGATAGTCACAATTATAAGCTTGTGTCAGACTAATAAAAATTACATATTATAAGATAAAGAAGCTCTGTATCTAATTTTATCCTAATAATATATCTAATCTATATACAAAAAAACAAAAATAGCAGATTTAAACTAAACTAGACTAAACTAGACAAAGTAGTTAAAAAGTACTATTAGTCTCAAAGTATTGTTTAAACAGTTTTTTTTAGTCAAAACATGTCGCTTAATTGTGTTGTCTTTCAAACATGCTCAGTTGCTTAATCTAGATGTTTATTGATTTTGTGTTTATTAAAAGTAAACAAACCATTTTAAGAAATAATCAATCCAATTTGGAAGATAAACAATATCAATTGTTTTGAAAAATTATATATTGATCTTTTGAAGGAGGTAAGTTAAGATACCCACTTTTTAACAAAATTTTCTTAAAAAAAGTGGTAAGCCAACAAAACTTTATAAGTTTTTCTTTGTAAATTTTATGGTTGTATAGGGATTATTTCTAGTTTTTTTAATATACTTAGTATTGACCTAATTGTTCTGTATTCCCAAAATATCCTTCTGGTTTGGATGTTGAATATAATAGAGAAGACCATCTAGAAGAAAGCTTGACTTCTACAAAAACTGTCCAAAGTAGTCTGCACCTTAGTTTTATACTCTTAGTACTTTGTTGACAATACACCTACTTGTGTAGGACCAAGTATATTATCACCTTTTGATGTTTTAAAGATATACTAGTAATACAAGTAGAATTGCATTACAAAGTGTTTAAATGAGTAGTTGGATTACAGATATGATATATAGTATAAAACCTATAATGTAAAAAGTCATAGATGAACTACTTAAATTAGACACCAAAAGTGTAGATGTGGTTAAATATATTCTTTAATATAAGGGTTTTGTCATAAGCCTCCTATTCAATTAAATACTTAAATAAAAAACCTTAAAGCCAAAGAGGCTAGTTTAAAAAAAATTTCAATAAAAACAGAAACATGGTCTCACTACTAATATTTTAAAAAAATTATATAATATGTAATTATAATACCATCTAAGCAAATAAAAAAAGGATTACCAAAAAATCAAAAAATTTTAAAAATTTTAATTAAAAATTATTTAAATAACTTATTATAGTCAATTCTTTATAAATACATTCACTCTTGAAACTATGAATAAAAATTTTAAATATATATTTAGAAAGATGTGTTTATAAAAAGCATTTTATTAAATGTTCTATATACTCAAAACTAAAGATTAGTATTTAGAAAGAATAGTATATATATTTATAAAGGATATATTTATATATTTTTGAATACTACTATTTTTTTAAAATTCTAAAACCTATTTGTTATTTTTAATTTTGAGTAATTTTATTTACTATCTATGAATAAAATTTAATAATTATTATCTTTAAGATTTAAAATTTAAATAAAAATTTTAGTTAGATAAAAGCTAAAATACCTTTGATAATTAAAGTTTTAAAGAATATAAATATTTATATCACCGTATGTTACAGAATAAAGCAACCAAAATGTTGCAAAACAACAAGAATTTTTTTGCGAAGAGGTTGCTTATATTTGGGTTCAATTTTATTAGTAAAACAAACAACCTTAGTGCTTCGAAGTCTGGAGGGCTGCTTTTATTCGATGGTTGCTTCTAATGAGTAACATACGTATATATTATAAAAAAGTATGAAATTTCAACTCATACTTTTATAGTCAAGACTTAAAAAACATACAGTAACAATTTATAACTATTGTTGAATTTATATAAAAAATAGAAATTTAACATCTTGGCAAACATATATACGTATTCTAGTTTAAAAAATAAATACAATATATTTGTTGTAAGGTTGAAAGAATTTGTCGATAAAAATATTGTTAGTAGCAGTAGCTTTGGTGTATCAAAATATAAGTACGTACATATTTTACTCCTTTACAGCCGAATTTAATGCGCATTTAAATAGAATATGAATTTATTGAAACAATCTGCAAGATTAAATGGTCAATACTTCGAAGATTGATTTTATTGACTTTCTATTTAGACTTTTTTTTTGATTTACATTAAAATTATTATACTACAGTTAAGACTAGGAATATTAACGGTCTGGTTGGTTTGGTTCTACTGTATTCTATAGTCCATAATCTATAGTCTTAAAACTTAGTAGTCGAGTTTTTAAGAATTCTTACTGCTGAGGCTAAACTGTATAGGACCCGGTCTCTTTCAGTTCTATTATCAACTGCAATCGTACAGTCTGGGCCAGACCAAATAACATCCCCAGTTAAGACCCTATATTGTGCTGCGAAAATAGTACCGATAGGGAAATTACAAAATTAAGATTATGGGTTGCCCCTTTATCGTTTCATTGTTTGAATTATGTCAAAATACCAAGACTATTCTTTCAATTAAAAAAATTAATTTGTGATTAAATTAAAAAGAACACAAAAATGCATAAATTTCATATAATGTTAATATAACGTATAATGTGTGACATGAAATTTGAGTGGTGTTCTGTATAACTGTGGGATCTGATTAAATATATGCGTTGAAAGCGCTTATTGGTGCAGTTTATTACAGAAATGTTTTGAAGCTAATTTATGATTTATTTAATTTATACTAATCATACTCGTACATACGTACGTACGTACGTACATACATTGTCGATTGAAAGTTCTTACCGATTAAAACTTATTCCACAGAATAATCACGTGCATGCAACTTGGTGTATACTATCTCGAAATGCTCGCAAGATTCGGACGTTGCTTCGAAGGTTCTTTTTCTCTTTGATTGGATTTACGATTTAGATGCTACATAAAATTCAATAAGATTCGGATCTACTGAAGTTAAAGTTTTCAGATCTCGTTTATGCAAAAGACCAAAAGAGTGAATAAAATAGTGTTTTAAGTGATCAAAAGTAATGCCTTTGGGCAAAAAAGATAGCCACAATGCTGTGAAACTAACTCATCTGGGTCTTCAACAGCCACGAGACTTTAAGAGTAAATTCGCATATAGGTTAACACTAAGATCACCTACTCACTTTGGTCTAATGGCTGTAAGGAGAAGATAACACTTCTGTAACTTGTTCTTATTGTTATTGCTGCTGTCCTAATATGTGCTAAATTTTCATAAAATATAAGGCAATTGCTCTGATATGATATCTTTAATAGGGATTTTCTTTTGGCATATATATATGCATATTTATACTTAAAATCGAACTAATCCGAAATACGTTCTTATATATTCTTAAAAAAGCGTATTGTTATTCGCATATATCACAGGGAAAACCCGCCATAACTTATATAAATATGTACTTACGACGTAACTCAAAAGATATGTTTGTTCGTATTTATATGGAAGCTTTATTACGTATTGGTATTAGTGTAATAATATAAATACTAAAAAATACTAAAAATTTAACAAATATGCGCTCAATCAAATTATCACATATAGCAAAAGCAAACAAAAAGGTAAGGGGAATTTACGACCGTGACACTGGCCAATATTAATTTCTGTATGCTCGCCATATATGCTCAGTTTAACTGTATAACTGCCTTATTTGTTGTGTTCAAGGGGAATCTATCGACATCCATCCTTTCTTTTTTCCTGCTCCATCTACTAAAGTTGTCCCTCCTTTTTTTCAATTTGCGATTACTCTTTCTTTCGAGTATATTGCAACATCATCCACGACGCTAAAGGTCAAAATATTATCAGACTTTTTTTTCAGTAAATTAAAAGTATTCGCGAGTCTTATGAAATAATTTGTTTTGGACAAAGATATTATTTAAGTTAAAACAAGTGCATTTTTGATTATAGTTACTTCCATTAGTGGCGAACTCTTGATCTCATATATAATAGTTTCATAATAATTTGATTGTCTTAACCTTTTTATTACTATCCAATCGGCCTCAAATCTCAATTAACCATGAAGTAGATCCTGTCATTAAAAGAAAAAAAAAGGCTTCATATTTAACTTGGCCTTTTTCTATTCCTATAGTGTATTAATAAATTTAACGTAAACGTTAACGTCTAACATTGTCATTGATAAGTAAATTATTCAAAAATGTCCAAGAAACCTCCGGCAAAACCGGTCAATGATTTAATAAGATTTTGGGCCGCACAACAAGAAGAAAAGGCAGCAAAAACAGAACCAATTTCACGATCACCTCGACGTCCATTGTCCCCAACTGCAACTACATCCACACCTTCATCTCCAAAAGGTTCAGAACCATTATCACCAAGATCATGGATCAACAACAGCCCATTTGGCTCGAATGTGGCAAATGCACCGCCTCCGTTATCTCCCACTCAACCATTGCCGCCACCTATGCCTATTGTAATTGAAAAAAGTTCAATGGTTAATAAATCATTAATATCGGAACGATTAAATGATATTTTCGGAAGTAATATAGACAGTAATGAAGGAAAGAATGCGAATATCAAAAGTGATACGTCAAAAATTGACACAGCAAAAGACAATAATAGTTCGACCGCTGATCTAAAAACGGTCACAACTCAAAAGGATCGAGGAAGGAGTGATTGGAATACTATACTTCAAGACTCATCATCATTATCATCATCACCTGCTCAGACTCAATCACGAAAAGACACAGTCACACCCGTCGAAAAACCTTTTTCATCAAAAAATTCAAGTTTTGGTGATCTTGGATCACCTACCAGGACAGCTCCCCCAAAAGATATTTCATTTCTCACTAAATCGCGCGAAGCTAAGACACAGGTCCAGCGCGAAGCAATTCCACAGGCAAAAAAAGTATCAAATTTGGTGTCACAGTTTGAAAAGGCAGTAACACCACCCACTTCACCTACCGCTTTGTCACCTGTAAAAAGATTTAATACTATTCCTGATCCATTGAATTCATCATCCAAACCAATAGCTCAACCCGTTCTGCCACCTGTTAAACAAGTCTTTATCGAAATAGCTCCCACGTCTACTAATAGTGTTAGTGGTACAAATAGTAATAGCGGATCTAGTGGTAATAACGGATACAACTCTAACAACGGATCTAGTTTCAATACTGGATCTAGTGTTAATGCTAATAACGGTTCTAGTGTTAATAATAGTGTTAATAATGGTTCTAGTGCTAATAATAGTTCTAGCGTTAATAATAGTTCTAGTGTTAATAATAGTTCTAGTGTTAACAATAATAGTTCTAGTGTTAATAGCGCAAATAGCGGATCCAAAGCCAGTAATGGATCCGGTGCCAATAATAGTTCTAATGTTAATAATGGATCTAGCGCTAATGACGTATCTAGCATTAATAGCGAATCTAGTACTAATAGAGGAGGTAATAAAAGCACATTTGGTGTTAATACTGGATTTAATGTTAATAGAGGACTTAATGCTAACGTGAATGATGCACCGTTAACTCGAGGTTCTTTAACTCAAAATGAGCAAGAATCGTTAAAAATATCAACCTCGAATATCGTTACTGACATAAAGTCTGTATCATCTGGAGCGTCAACACCAACAGCATCTACACCAGTGGCAACATCACCAACAAAATTGGCTAAGCGGAGAAGTAAACCTATTCCAAGACCGTTATCGATCACAACCCCGGTATCTCCTAGATCAGTATCTCCAATGTCAGTCCCTCCAACCATTCCCGAAACAATGGCAGTGACATCAACTGATATTAAGTTTACATCTCCGTCTTCACCTGTCCGATCTACTAAAATAACAACCTATAATGACGAATCAAAAATTTCATCTTCCGCATCGTCGCTCAAGTTGTCCGTTCGTGAATCAGCATCAAGCAAAGAAGCCGTTTCACCAATGTCATTGCTTTTTGTTGATGGTTTGCCACAAATACAACCAACTTCACCTTTACACATAACAATGCCTGAACCATTGTTTACAAAACATGACAATTACTCGTCCTCTACGATCTCGCAAACCACATATTCCACTTCAACTCAATCGAAACGAGAATCTATAATATCATCTGGAAGAGAATCAACAACTTTTAAACAAACGAATCAGCAAGAATTAACCCGATATCCTGAGACTTCATCGCAATCTTCCAGTTCACTTGCTCATATTTATCAATCACAACCAACATTATCGGATGTTTCTGACTTGTCATTTACATTTGAATCAACGATTTATCAATCGTTAAAGTCAAACAGTACCCAACGTCGTGATTCTGTTCAAAGGGTTTTAACACCAATACCACAAACCCGATCTAAAAGCCCTGAAACCATTTCGATTAAAAGTTCTGAAACGGTCACAACCAAGGGACAAAGCTATTTACCAGAAATCAAGAAAACTTCACCAATGTGGGGTCCTTTACCTGATAATGCTTCTCCACCATCACCGATTCACTCTATCACCATTAGTGACTCATTGTATTCGGTCCCAAAATCATCGATTACGGAAACTCGATCGATAACTTCGGCATATTCGACCAGAAGCATATTACCTGAAGTAGTATCAGAAGTCAAACAAACATCCCCAACATGGCGCTCAAACCACGATTCCTATAACTCATTTAATAGCTACACGTCATCTCATCCTGAACAACTCAACGTGGAAATTTGGCAAACTATGGTAAAAACAACTGAATATGAAGATGAACAAACCACACCGACTCAAAAAAATCCTTCGGTATCATCAAAAGCTTTTGGATATTTGTCTTCTAGGGATAAAGATGATGACTTGTTACCAAAAGCTGCACCCATATCACCTATAACATTTGATTTACCAGAACTTGGATTATTAGATCCATTACCAAAAGTTCAACAATCATCGACGCATAAAGAATTTTCATCAACAGCACCATTGAAACGTGAATTACCCAATCTAATGTCAAATACGTATACCTCAGCAAATTTAACAACAAACATTTCTTCGTCAGGTGATAAAAGCAGTTGGGGTTTTTGGAACGATTCACCTCCAGAGTCACCTGATAAATTTAAGTTAGACTTGGATCGATTTAATGCATATTTAAATAAAAAAGACCTTGATGATGACCATGGTGCTACAGGAATGAAAAAAGGAAAAGGAAGAAAGTATAGTACATTCTTGGATAAGACAAACAATGACCAACTAGATAAAGTTAAAATTGGAACAAAAGTTGATAAACATAAATCTTTACCATTAACACAAGAAGATTCCATTTATAAGAATGGAGAGCATGAAACTCGTATGGAAAGTGATAAGATGGATCAAAGTGATGATTATATAAATTCTGAAGATAATGATCCACCAGTATTTCAAAGAAAACAAGCACGTTCATCTAGAAAACCGATGCCAAATTTTTATCCTTCAAAATCAAAAAAATCCAAATTAACAGATGAACAACCACATGCAATGACCATAAAACTTCGAAAATCCGGAAATTTTCAAACATATCCATTATCAGATGGTTCAAGAATTGGTACTAAACGACAAAAATGCAAACCTATACAAATTTTAAAATTTCCTTATAGTACCATTAGACCACAACGAAATACTTTGTCATCAGCTAGTACACTTAAAAAAAATCCATTTCTTAAATCCATTAAAAGGAATTTTGGTGATCGTAATTTACCAGAGTACACATTATCTAAAAGTAAAATGTCTTTAATGGTACCACATAACTTGGCGGCTGTAGAATTTGGAAAACTTAATCATTCAGTACCAGATCTTACTGTACGTGTAAGGCATCAAAAATTTAATGAAGTATTTCTAAAAAATAATATGACAGTACCAGATTTTACACGATTTGATGTGGTAATGAAAGATATAGAAGAAAAAAAGAAAGCAGATGTCCGTATAGCTATAATGCAAGAAGTAGATTTAGATCCTTCAAAAATAACAAAATTTAGTATTAAACCATTTGATGAATCTGAATCCAATGAATTATTTAAATCTGGATCACCATGGATACATTTGCCACATTTGGATGAATTTATAAAAAGTTTACCACAAACGGAATTTTCAAACCCAAAAGATATAATGACACAAGAAGAATATGAAAAGTTTATGGCGACGGGTAAATTTGGAAAGTATGCAGATTCTATGTTCCCACCGATGAATCAAATTCCAGATGATGCTTCTTTAGATGATCTTAAATCTAATATGACTAGTAAAGAAAAATCGCCAAATGATTTAATGTCTACAGCTATTGATGGAATTCTTACTGCAGAATCTATGGTATATGGAAATACTTTGATAAAATTAGAAATATTACGAGATTTTATACAATTTTTGGCACTTGCATTGACTTTTGGAAACGTAGAAAGCGCAGGCGGGGATTGGTTGAAAACTTTATTACATACTATACCAAATTTTTTAAGTTTGAATTTGGCTAATGTTTTTGGATATGGATCGGCATTTTTATTTGTGTTTTTTGTCATTGTATTTGGAGCTTTGTATTGGTTTAGATCTATGACCAAATGGGATCCCAACGCTGACGCTGAGGTATGTTATTTAAAATACAATAGATTCATTATTTATAATTTTATTCGTTATTTTTATATGATTACAATTCATAATATGAATGTATATATATTTTTTTAATTCAAATTATAGGGACTTGAATCATCACCATGGAATTTACGTCCTCAAACAAAACGTCGCCACAATATGGTCGTAGTATTTATCTTAACAACACTCTATCTTCCTTTATCAAAACTTTCAATAGATGCTTTAGTATGGTCTAATACATTCTGGCCAGACAAAAACCTTCATGCCGAGAGTTGTTATATGACCAGCATTGGAGGAGGTAGTTTGAACTTTGCACCAGCAATTATAGTGGTTGCTTTAATAACTTTAGGAGTGTTTACAATTTGGTTTCCTATTGCTTTGAAGAAATTGGTGGATAGAAATTATCCTAGGATAGATAAATATAATGAGGCAGGAGAAAAGATTACAGATGAAAATAAAGAGTATTCAAAAAGGTTGGAGAATGATACATGCCCTTATAATTTCTTGTATAATGGTGGGTAAATTGAATATATTTATAAAATTATTTATATTATTTATATTATTTGAGTTTTTTTTAAATTAATTAATCAAATTATTAATAATATTAATAATTATTTAATTATATAGGATATAGTGAAAAATGGGCAAACTATAAAACATTTATAATGGCAAATAAATTTATTAGTATCTTGATAATTTCTACAATCTCTGACAATAATTGCTTATTCATCCAATTTTCACCACGAAACGTTCCATTGTTAATTCGTCAATTCTTACAAATTTTTTTAATGCTCTTATTATTATTCATACATTGGAGAAGTGAACCATTCCTCCATCCTTCACAAAATATTAGTGAATACTGGTCTCGAACAAGTTATGTGATTGCAGCAATTTTGGGAATATTTGTAATATTAAGAGTTGGACAATTTCATATAGTTTCTATTATACTTGTGATAATTAATTTATTAATTGGACTGATGGTGGTGTGGAATTTGTTTAAACAGACAGATCAATACAAGAAGTTTATCAAAAATACGAAAAAACGATTAGATTTTAGTCTTAACATATATTCACCAAAATTAGATTTTACTAAACATATTAAACGTCGAGTATGGCAAGAAACATGGAGTGCATTGATATTGACATCAGATCAACTTAAAATTCCATCAGGACAAGTTATAGCTTATTCACAGTCACCTCATCGACCTCCATACTTGTTAAATTTTTCAAGAAGTGTTGCCGAACGACATGTAGAGAACCTAAAAATTATGAAGCATATAGGGTTAAAACATTATACAACATCTTTGGCACCTTTACCTATTTCATTGGAAAAATTAAGATTAAAAATAGTAAATAATTTTGTTGGACCAGATATGTATTATTCACCAGAATTTTTGAACAGCAAGATAAAAACGTATTTTGGTAAAGCATATGTAGTACCGTTTCCGTTTAGTTTGGTGATGTGTTATGACGATGATGATAGTATAGTTGTTTTAACACAAGAATGGGAAATCCGACGATATGTAGAACAGAATGAGAATAAAGAAATACAAAGGAGAAGATTGGTTAGACAAATGATTAGGTCTTTGGAAGGAAAGGTTATTATTGGACCTTGTTGTGAAAAAGATAAAAATGAATTTGAAATTCAAGAAAAGGTATTTAATTTAATTACTATTACATCATTATTATGATTATTATTATTATGATTATTATTACTGGTATTATTATTATTGTTATTAATTTACATCGTTTGTAATAGGGATTCTTTGGAAATTCAGGATCAGAAATTCATTATCATCGTGGACTCCTTCAAATCCGACGTAATCAGCGTTCAAAATGGCGAGGACAAAACATGAATTCAGGATTTGAGGTTACCATTACATATTCAGGCAAAATTAAGTCTAATAGTTCAACTCGATCCGGTACTTCATCGCTTAGTGAAGAATCACCATGTCACGAAGTAACCATTGGACATAATATTATCGGAATTACACCAGATTTCCAAATGACATCACGACTTGAACGATTATTCACGGATAATTATGAAACATTGTCTAAAGGGCTCGATCTAGTTCAAGCGATGATGCAACAATATAGGGACTATTATAAAGATGAAGCGATTAAAAAGATGGAAACATTATCATATGGATTCTTTATAAATGTATATGATAATCCATCAATACCATTAGAATCATTACCAGCATTATTGATGGCAACCGAAACAAACGAAAAAGTTCGAGCTATTCCAGAAACCGAATATCCATCGCTGATTTATTTATATGAAAGAATGAGAATAATAAATTTATCAAGAGTTCATCAATGGTGGTACCTGTTTTGGGAAGATCTTTGGAGAAAAAATCAACAAGAAATTGAAGATTTGAGAAAATATCCACAAGATTTTTCCCCAATTTATAGAACTAGTTTATGTTATAGACCAATGATAAGGTTAGAGTTGGAAGAATTTTTACAGAAACGTGGTCTTTGGAAAAATGAAGGACGTGATGGGTTTTTGCATTCAGGAATTTTAAATAGGATTTACTTGTATTTGAATAATGTGGTATTTGGAAGAAATTCAAAATCAAAACGAAAGAATAGCAAAGGTGGAGTGGTGGAAGAAATGCCGAGAACATGGAGTATAATAAAAGGAAATAGTATTGATAGTAATGAGTATACCTTACGTGAAAAAGATGTGAAAACTATAAAAGATCGAATGATGATAATGAAAGATTTGATGTTGAGACGGGAAACAAAACTTTCTAAAACTAGACCGTTCTTTGTATTAAGAGATGAATATGTAGATATTGACGATGAATATGATAGTGAAGAAATTAATAGTTCTAGTGATGGTGAAACATGTATTAATTTTTAATTGAATTATGTGAAAAAAGAAGAGTTTGTATTTTTGCTTTTCTTTTTTTAATTTATTTAATTAGTTTTTTTTTCTTTTTTTTTGTTTATTTAATTTGGATTAATGGGTGGATTTAGTGACATTTGTGAAAGTATAGAGCATTATTAGACATTTTAATACTGGCATATTTGGGGTTGGTTTTTTTTTTTTAAAAAAAAAAAAAAAAAAATTTTTTTTGTTCATTATTACAATATATTATTCTGTAACTTGTATGTCAAAGTTTCGAATGTTTATTTGAATGTTTATAAAATATTAAAAAATATTATTTATTGTTCGATAAAGTAACATTTTTTTACATTTTTTAACATTTTTCTAACATATTCTAACATGAGAATACTAGTATATTTTTGTATTTATCGTATGTTCTTTTTTCTAAACCTGTTTAAAAATGTTTAGGAAAATACTCGGTTCGTCTTAGAGCGGTTAATCAACTTAACCTGTTTCACATATTTATTTTAATAAAAACCGATTAACATTAATAACGTTATTAATGAATAACAACCCGTCTTTTAGATAAATTTACCGCTACACGATTACACGTGGAGAAAAATGACAATAATATTTACCATAAACACGTATTAACCATATTAACGTTAAAAATTTCTCCGCTTTAAATACTGGTAGTTATCAAGAATGTTTTATGATGTACATACGTATTTAGAAGCTTTTTTGATAGATTATACTTTTATGGAAGAATGTCGATTAATGATCCTACAGTAGTAAATAAATAAAAGGCAGGATCTACACTCTTTTTTTTTTTTATAACTTACGTACATTAGTCTGATTAAGAATCTTAAGAATCTTAGAAGACTCAAAATTCTTTTATTCTTTTTTTTAAATATAGCAAATTATTAAACGCATTTTATTAGGTGAACGATAGAAGGATACGTAGGTATGCTTATTACCATTATCATCGTTCACTAAATATCATAATTATCATGTAAAGATAATAAAAGATAATACGTATTACGTCAAGATTACACATTTTCTTTAAATAAAATAATGATTTCACCTATGAGATCTGTTTAAGTATATGTGAAAATATGTGAATGTTTTTTTTTTTTTTTACACAAAAACATACCGATACATCGATCACTATTTTCCCATTGAATTTCTCGTAAGTTATTTTTTCGAACTTACCCATCACTTTTTTCCCTATGTTCATCCCAAGTTATCAATTCATTCGGTTCGTCGTCAATCATATTTTTATCCTTAA